AGCATCCCCACGTGCGCAAGTATGAAAGTGATGGTTTCCTCCCAACCCAATTCTCATATGGGGTTGTCTCTTTATTTCTATTTGGAATTCTATTCAGGACATGACTTGCAGTCAATAAAGCCTCCCCCCACCATGCCTTAGATAAACCTACAGTGTCTAACATGGTATTCACCAAGTCAGTTAGCATGCGGTTCTTCCTCTCGGCAACCCCGTTTGATTCGGGCGAACAGGGAGGCGTCCTCTCATGAATAATACCATGTTCCTCACAGAATTTATCAAATAATCTAGGAAAATATTCACCACCACGATCTAACCTTAGATGCTTAATCTTTCTCTCTAGTTGATTCTCAACTTTAGCCTTATAGAGTTTAAAGTAGTCTAGCGTTTCATCTTTAGTTTTCAGCAAGTAAACATAGCAAAATCTAGTTGCATCATCAATTAAAGTCATGAAATATCTCTTTCCACCTTTTGTCAACATACTATTCATCTCTCATAGATCAGAATGTATGAGTTCTAGAGGTGCCAAGTTTCTCTCCTCCGCTGCCTTGTGTGGCTTTCGAGGTTGCTTTGATTGCACACAATTATGGCACTTAGAACCTTTGGCAATAGTTAAATCTAGAATTAAACTCATGCTAGACAAACGTGACATCAACCCAAAATTGGCGTGGCATAAATGAGAATGCCAAACACTTGAAATATCATTAATTGTGCCACAAATGTGATTCACTAACTTATTACAAAAATCTACCATAGATAGGCGGAACAAGCCTCCACAATCATAGCCTTTATCAATAAATTGTCCATGCTTAGACATTACTACTTTATTAGACTCTAACACTACCTTAAACCCATCTCTCAAAAGAAGGGAGACACTAACTAGGTTCTTCCGTATAGTAGGGACATGCTGCACGTTTCTCAGCTGCACGATCTTTCCCGAAGTAAACTTCAGATCCACCATGCCAACACCACGAATAGAAGCATGCGACCCATTCCCCATTAGGATGGAGACACCTTGGATCCTCTGATAAGAAGAAAACATAGAGATGTCAGCACACACATGAATGTTACCACCTGTATCAACCCACAAACTTGGAGATTGAAACATTGATAGTACATGTGGCAGAACCGCTCGAAATAACGTACTTACAGAGGCGTTCATCTTCCTCCAGACAGTAAGCACCCCGTAAGCATGCTACAGCGGGCGGTATCCGTTGGGCACACCCCAAGGGAGAGCCCGAAAGATCCACATTTTTTCTCAAGGATCCAATAACGAGAACGAGTTATAATACTTATTACATTTCATGCATCCAGAGTTCTTAGAAATTCATTATTCAATTGTCAAATTCAGACTATGAAAGATTAAACAACGGAATGATAATAAGCATCTATCGATACAGAATAAGGATCCATCTGTGCCCACCAAAAGAATCATTCACACAATGGTACTCCTCAAGCATTACCTGAAACAAGGGTAAATAAACCCTGAGTACACAATGTACTCGCAAGACTTATCCGACTAGTGGGAATAATTTTCCCACTCCAAGGGATATGCAAAATTTTATGGTTTGTTGGTTTCCTTTTTGCAGAAAGCAATACTAATAGTGAGTCCTTATTTATGTTTTTATTAGTAGCCATGATTAATTGATTATCTAGACATTCTATGTAAGCATATGTTCTACTTTCATGTAAGAGTTGAGCAATCAGTTCCATTTTATCACCTTTTATCTTTCAGTTCTTACTACGGTGCTATAGTTTAGACAAGCCATACAGGATTTCCCGGTGATTCACGAATTAATGCCCCCAGCTGAACCAGTCCGAGCACGGGGGAAGCTGGCGGCTTCACCAGACGATGGAAAAGAGGTGCCGAGCACTCTAGCGGTAGAGCCAAGCACTCCTGGGGCGGTGCCAAGCACTTTGGGAGGGATGCTGAGCACTCAGAGAGGAGTGTCGAGCCGAGCAAGCCAGGAGTGGCGCCGGAGGTTCTACAATGGTGGCAACCACTCTAGGACGGGTGCCGAGCACTCCCGTGGTGGAGCCAAGAGGTCTTGTAGTGGTTTCGACCACTCCAAGACTGAGGCTAAGCAGCTCCTACAGTGGTGCCGAGCACTGCATAAGTAGTGACGAGCTGTTCAGAAGTAGTGTCGAGCACTGCAACCAGAGTGCTGAGCACTCCGGCGAAACAGGGAACTCCATCAACACTGATTGAGTTCGCCTCACCTCCAAGTGACATCACTGAATTCGTGGATGCCTTCCACGAAGGTGAGGAGGTGCGGTTCCACAGGCCGGACGACATTGTCGGCGGCATAGGGCCCTCAGGACTGGCTGGTCGGCTACTCAATGACCAAAAGCTACTGCTCGTCAGTGTAGAGGAACCACCCACATTCGCGCTGGCTGAGCGCGACGGAAACCGGCTACGGGCGATGCTAGAGGAGATGAAGGCGATCGAGGAAAACGAGACATGGCAGCTCGTCGATCCACCTCCAGGATTCCGTTCGATCAGTCTGAAGTGGGTGTATAAGGTCAAGCGGGACGAGCTCGGCGCCATTGTCAAGCACAAGGCGCGCCTCGTCGCCTGAGGCTTTGTTCAGCGCGAGGGCATAGACTTTCGAGGAGGTCTTTGCGCCAGTAGCACGCATGGAGTCGGTCCGTTTGCTACTAGACTTGGCAGCAGCAAAGGACTAGCGCGTCCATCACTTGGACGTTAAATCGGCCTTCCTCAATGGCAAACTAGTGGAGACGGTCTTCATCAAACAACCTTCAGGTTTCGCCGTCAAGGGAGAGGAGCACAGGGTGCTCCGACTACGTAAGGCGCTCTACGGGCTACGACAGGCCCCACGAGCATGGAACGGCAAGCTTGACGCCACGCTAGGCGAGCTTGGGTTCCAGCGGTGCGCAACCGAGCACACGCTCTACACGCGGCGATGGGGGAAGGAGGAGCTCATCGTTGGCGTGTATGTGGACGACTTGATCGTCACCGGCGCGCGCACGGAGGACATCAACGGCTTCAAGCGCGAGATGGCGGCTCGGTTTTGAATGAGCGATCTCGGCACACTCTCCTAGTACCTCGGCATCGTGGTGAGATATGGGAAGGAGGAACTCATGCTCGGTCAGAGCGCATATGCCTCCAAGTTGTTGGAGCGGAGTGGCATGGCTGAGTGCAAGCCATGTGTGACTCCGATGGAGAAGCGACTGAAGCTGACAAAGGCCAGTACCGCGGTCTGCGCTACCTAGTGCACACAAGGCCGGACATTGCGTTCGCTATGAGCTACGTCAGTCGCTTCATGGAAGGTCCTAGAGAGGATCACCGGGCTACGGTGAAGCAGCTACTGCGCTACGTTAAGAGGACGGTGGGTCAAGGGATCATCTTTCCTAAGACCGGTGGGAGTACGCTGCAGCTCACTGTGTTCAGCAATGCAGACATGGCGGGGGATATCGACGGACGACGGAGCACTTCTAGCGTGCTCATCTTCCTCGGGTCGACCCTAATTTCATGGCTATCGCTGAAACAGAAGGTGGTGACGCTATCTACGTGCGAGGCAGAATACGTAGCGGTGGCCACAACGACGTGCCAAGTTGTGTGGCTGCGCCGGCTGCTGGGTGAGCTGACCGGCGTGGAAGCTCACCCACCAGCACTGATGGTGGACAACCAGCCCGTCATCGCTCTCGCGAAGAATCTGGCTCTGCACGACCGGAGCAAACACATCGACGTGAAGTTCCACTTCCTTAGGGACTGTGTCGATGGAGGGCAGATCGTCATCTAGTTTGTCGAAACTGGTCGGCAACTCGCGGACATCCTCACCAAGCCGCTCGGACGTCTTCGACTCACGGAGCTGAAGGAGATGATCGGCATGGAGGGGTACAAGAGATAGCAGTAAGATTAGGGGAATAATTGTTAGATAATATACTCCTTCCTTGTGTGAACACACAACAAAGGAAGGCGGCACCGAAAGGGTCCCTCACTGTGACACCTTTGTGGTCACCAGAGTAGAAGCGCCGAACGGCTCACCTGCCAGCCTTTCAGTAGCCACATGCGAGACGACGCAAGTCGATCCCTTTGTGTTATCTAATTATCTTGTTGCGAGATGTGCGTTGTATTAGGACTAGATGGATAGAGTTGTATAAATAGACTGCTACGACAACTCAGTAAAGAGAGTTCAGTTTTGCCATCTCCTATACAGGGCTCTGACCAACGCTGGTGCTTGTATTGTGTGTGCATACTCTGTTCTTCCTTTTCTTCTACCTCTAACCATAGTGTGTGTGGTCGGACAACCTCGATCGTGCTCAGCCGTGGTCGACAAGACTGATGAGTGGTCGACTCACCTGAGCCGGTGATCTGTGGACTAACGGTATTGACCCACGGTCTATCTCCGGTTTATCTTGTATGTGGACATGTCAAAAAAAAACAATTTTACCGGATATCACTACATGCTTGTGTGTTTCCGCGTACATGGACTACTGAATCCACAAACCTTGAACCTTGTAGGGTTAAAGATGAGGGGATCTGAGTAAATGACTGGGTTCAAGTGCACTGCTGGTGGACAGACCATCACTCCCCATCCTGCTGGAATTGTGAACCCTGTCAAGCAAGGGGATTAGAAAAGTATTCAGTTATTGCTCCTCAGTTTGAGCACGCATAATTTTCCAGACGATATGATTAGTCGTCGAAAGCACTTTAAAGTAACATCAAATAAAGCTATTGTGTTTGGTTTTAGAGTGCGATCAGTTTGCTGAAACAGATAGGACAACATGTGTAATGACAGCTTCACCTTTGAACCGTATATCTTTCAGTGCCTTTCTGAAGATGCCAGGCGCAATATTGGCTAATCGGACAGTTTCGTTGATGACCTATAAAATAGTGTGGATCTCCATGTTAAAATGTTTGAGAGCAAACATGCATGCACGCTCATAGAGTTCATAGTGCACGCGCGCAGTAGTATCTAACTGAATAACTGAAGCCAATTGTTCCAGTTATACATGTTCTTAACACTAGAAGGTGCAGGTCAGTAATTATCGACCAATTTTTGTCCTAGCCGATCGACAACCTGGGACGTGAACGTCATAGACTTGTACTCTATCCATGCGATCCCATCAGATCCATGGCGCACCTTACGGCCAATCAGAATCGTTTCATGCTCCACCTGCATCCAAGCCAAAATTAAATCGCAGCTAGAGGTACCAGTGCCTATCAAAGGTTGTTTGTATGTTGCTGACCGTGAGCTCTTCCAGGACGCGAGGGTGGTCTGCGACCAGCTTCACGGCCAGAGTGAGCGCCAGCGACGTCGTGTGGAAGCTGGCGAACAGGAGCACGAACATCAGGTCGAGTGCCATTCTGTCCGTCACGAGCGGCTTCTCCTTCGTCAACTCCTGGATGACGAGGTCCAAGAAGTCGCCGCCATGGCGACGTGTCGTTTCCATGGCGCCTTCTCCTGCTCCGAGCACCTGTACCGATCTCTTCCTCTCCTCTAGCACTTCCTGCAGCACCTCCATTGCGCTCTGCCGGCCCTGAAAGTGACATGACAGATAAAAAAAAAGGCCAAGCTTGTGCAGAGTTTAATTCGATCGTGATATGGACAGCATAGTGCAGCGAGTAGCAGTATGCACGCACCTTCATGCATGAGTAGTATGCTGTTCCTGGCAAATACAGAGGGAACGAGATGAGCCCTCTAACGAAGTCGAAGAAGCTCTTCCTCAGAATCTTGGACCTCGACGGCTCCAAGCCGAGCAGGTTGTTCGCTGAAAGATCAAACACCATCTACGCGCGCAGACACAGACATGCTGCAGCAATCACAACAATGGCAGCCTGGCACACAAAAAATGTTACTTGCATACCGTGGAGACGGCCTCTTTCAGTTCGACGGCCGGCAGGGTCGACCAGGTGCAGAGGGAGCTGCTGACGGCGTGCTCGACGTCGCGGAGCATGGTGGACTCCCTGAGGCTCTCCGGGCCGAAGTAGCGTAGCACCATGTTCTTGAGGTACTTGAACATGGCGCCCTGCTGCTCCCCGACGTTGTCCCTGCCGATGATCTCCACGAAGGAGTCCGGGTACCAGCTCTGGAACAGCTGCCCCTCCTGCTGGAACACCAGTAGTTGAGCTCCTCGTCCGCGGAGACCACGACCGGGTGGCCCACCAGGCTCGTCTTGAAGATCGGGCCGTACCTAGCTTGCGCTCGAACGGGACACAGGTTCAGATTCAGAATCGCGACGTGAGTCCGGCCCATCATGTTCCAGCTTAGGGCACGTTTCGGATAGCATGGAATAGAGCCAGGAATTGAGGAACACAGGTGTATTTTATACAGGCAAGCAGCAGCAGGAACAGTTCCGGTCAAGATTAAGCCAAAACGAACGGGCCCTTAATCGGGCCTCAGCCCAAGCCCAAACCGAGGCGTACCTTTCCAGCCTGTGCCGGACGAAACGCGGGACGTCCAAGGAAGCTTCAGGGGAGAAGAACTGCAGCGTCTCCCCGACGAGCGGCGGGCCCATGGAGCCCGGCGGGAGGCAGCCGCTGCATCGTGGGTTCCTCCACCTGTGCACCGCATACAGCAGCAGCAGCAGCATAAGGAGCACGAAGGCCGCCACGCCGGAGAGCCGCATGTGGTACGCGCACACGTGCGAGATCCGGCGATATGGGAAAACTCACGTCACGCGCCTCTGCATGTTTCGTTCGTGCATTCGGAAGCTGCCACGTAGACACTGGACCCCAAATTTAAAAGACCACGAGCTTCCTCAGCTAGCACAAGTTCAGTGTGTAAAGAATATGGCCCGGCCGGACTTTGACCCGTGGTTTGGTGAATATGGCAACGTAGAGGGTGTGGAGACTAGGCGCCCTGTTCGTTTGGTGTAAAGAATATGAAAGAAATCGCCCCGGTGTGAGAGGAATTTTGAATAAGTCATGGTTTATAAGCCAAATATGACTAAACGAACATACTATAGTGGTTTGTTGGATCTATTACAGTTGGTACGTATTCGAGTGGTTCATTAACATTGGACATAGTTTCGAATGTTCCATCATTCGGTGGTTGAGACTTTGAGAGCTGAGGTCGGTTCCTCCTTTCCAAAAATTTGTCAGCCACTGGTCTTGATAAACTAATTTATTATAATTAAGGATTTTTTAGTAATTGTGATGCTTTAGAGTTTGTTTGTGAAAAAAATGTTATTGAGCTATGAGCTATGCAAAAAGTTGTTGTGAACTATATGCTATGAAAAAATTATAAGGTGTTTAGTTGAAGCAACTATGAAATGTATCATCTCTCTCTGGCTCTTGAGCAGCTACGAAACACCCCTCTATTTTCACCCTTGCAAAAGCAAAAGGACAAAATGCCGAAAACAAGGTCCAAGATACTGTCAAAATTGTACTCCCTCTGCATTCTCAAAAAAAAAATTGTACTCCCTCCATTCCAAATTATAGTAAGTCGTACGTATACTTAGATATAGGCTATGTCTAGATACATAATATAAATTGTGTACCTAAAAAAAATCCAAAAACAACATAGTTTTTGAGACGTAGTGAATACACATACAAGCAGGTGCTTCTGGAAAGCAATTTTAGGTTCCAAACGCTTAATTGTTCACTTTTTAAAAGCTGAATCAAACATAGCCTTTAATCCCCAAAATGTCACAAAACAAGAAGAACAGGGTTGATATAATGATACTTGTTATGTATCATAAATATTAGTATTTTTAATATATATTTGGTTACATTTTAAATAGATTGACTCTCTGAGAAATAAGATGTGCAATTATTTATTTTTTGGCGGATAAAGTAAGCTCATAGAACAAGTAGTACAAGGTTCGACAGAGAATACTGCCTTTGATAGTTTTAAATTATCATAAATATAGGTTTTAAAATTATGCTAAACTAAACTTAACCTTTATAGTTAGTCATATTAGCCATAGAAATAACTATTAAATAGTTTAAATGGGTTATACTAAAATGGTTATTGTTTATACAATGTTAATTAGTCATAAATATAAGTTTTAGATGGTACGTTGTTCTTCACATATACGGAATATTGGGATTGACTCAACTTAAATATGTGACTATTGTGTGTATTTGTTGTGAGTTTAATAGAAGTGAAAGACGAGCCACCCGTTCGCACGTGCTTCACAACACGAATGGGCTCGGACGGCTAGACCATGATATAAGTGGTAATGATGTCAACTAATGTTTTGTGGCTCGAAACCTAAAACAAGAAGAAAGGTAAGACTGAGCAGCAACCGGGCAAAGAGCGCAAAAGATGAGTGAGCGAAGAACGACCAAAGAATTGAAGAGAAGTGTGAGATGAAAGAAAGATAATTTGCTCTAATATAGGTATAGATTATTTTCTTATAGATTGAACCGAACCTTAGTCTTTGGATGTCCGGTACGCCGGGATTTAGGACTGGATGAGGAAAGAAGCAACCTCTAAACTCCGGCAGAGGTTGGAGGTCATGTGGTTGCGCTATAGAGCATCACGAATTAGAGATTGCGTATGTTACTGGCTCAAGAAGTTTTCAACTTCCTTATAAAATAAAATAGTGTATGTTAGATGGTGCGTGTGCCCTCATCACCACCCGTTGTAACTGCACGGGCAGTTACTGATCCGAACGTTAGGTTCCGTAGGAGATTCTCCGGTCCTGCCTCCAATCATACCCACACGACTAGCCTGCACTGCGTCCTGGACTGCTGGTCCTACCGCCAGCCTTTCTAGGGGTCGTTGGAACAGCAACGCACCGCCGGATGCCCCTCAGCCATCCGTGGTACTGATGTGGTTTCAAAAGCTGCGCTTTCTCGTCATCCCCACACGAGCTTGCCCTGGCCTCTGTCCTGGGCATGCAAGGAGTACGGAGTATAGGACAATCAACTGAACTTTCACCTGCAGTCCTGCTTCGACTCAGGGTACGTTCAGGCTAGCCGGTATCTTCAGACTCCGGAGGGCGGAGTAACAAACACTGTCGTATCATGGTGAAAGATGAGTTTACCATGGCTGCACTGCAAAACTACAAATGGCACTGCCACACTTGTGTAGCAGAATAGCCAGCTGCAGGATTATTTTTCATGTGCATCACGAATGACATCCTCTCTTAGATCCTCATAGACAGCTGTCTCTGACATAGATTCTTAACCACTACTGATTCGGTTGGTACATAAGCCAGCTGGTTTCTTGCTGATTCAATAGTGTTATGTGAGAAGAATAAGCTGAAATAAGTTGGGCCGGCTGAAAAGTAGTTCAAGCGAACGGGCCTGGCTGAAATAACTGGCAATTGTTCAACCACTAACCGGCAGCTACATGCAGATCTTAGAGAGGCCATCATTCCAATCCAAAACTCCATTATGCAGTGTTAGGTGAAAAATCTTACAAGACTACACTATTCTAGCGGCAGCGGGCTGCGGGCCTCATGCCATGTTCATGTTCTTGTTCTTTTGTGTCGTGTCTCTGTCAGTTTTGATTCGGTACGTAGCCCATTGGACCGTCTGTGTTTGTCCTCTTGCTCCTCCTGTCCGGGACCAATCCGCTCTTGGGCAGTTGCACTGCTTCCCTAGCTAGTGTGCATGCCAGTTGACAGTGGAGTGTGGAGACGGATAGACGATAGCCCGTCGCTATTTTTGAAAGGGTACGTGTCCTGTCCCCATCCCCACTCTATTATTTTTGAGTCAGGCTCAGGACATCGGCAAATTACTGTGCCTGCATTATTCATTCTTCTGACTGAGACCATAATTCAGGCAACTACTGCACTCAAAACATGATTTGACAGCTCTGCTAAGGTATGTTTTGCCAGAAAACATTAATCACTTGGTGTTGGCTACTGAGGCCAGTAGACAAAACATGCACGACGTGAGCATGACAGTGACAATTTTGTGCTATATTTGCGCAAAAATCGCTTTCTGATGCTGATGGGAGTCAAGTGGTTCGGACTGTTTCGGCATTTTTTTTTTCCAGCATATTTGACGGTACAGTCAGAATTTGTGACATTTTCTTTGGCTCGTCTTCCTCTTGTACTTTCGGCACCGACACATACGCCGGCAGAAAATAATGGGGAGACGCAGAACATAAGTAACCGTTCCACCATCGATGCGTTTGGTGTGCATCGCCAAACTTGCAACCAAATTAGTGGTCAAATCAGAACGTTTAGCTGGCATACAGTTCCATGCTTTGCTCGGGAAGAAATGCCGTGGGTGCATTCTACACAGCCGGCGAGTTTTTCATGATCAGAACATCAAGTTCAGAGTAGTTAGACGATAGATAGGTCAGACTGATTCTAAGTCATGGGATGGTGGTTAGTCCTAGTTTAGATTTTTATGAGGTGCAGGGCCGTCCCTGGGGCGTGCAGCCTGGGCGACGGCGCATGGCCTCTTATTCTCATAGGCCTCCAAGTATATAGTACCACCCATATAGCTAAGCACAGCAGGTAATTTGTTTGATTGTTTCTTTGGCCCAATAGCATCGCCCATTAGCAAGCCTATTAGCTCAATAGAAAATCATTTGCTGGCCGGCTACACGGACGTTGTTTTGTCTCCCGTCTCGACTCCTGCGATCCCAATTCCCAAACCTGTTCGTCTAGACGTCTCCTATCGCCGAGGTACCCAGGTGAGGCGCTGAGGCCCTGAAGGTAAATAGGTAATACTAATCATTCATATTTCTTTTTTTTTTCAATTCATTCACAATCACAGCGTGACAGCAAACTACAGCGAGTAGCGGGTCGATCTCTAAATTTTATTCTTTTGATCTTTTCATCTAGGCACCTACTGGAATAGTGTTCAAAGATTTGAGTCGGGTTAGCAAAAGTGTAAGAAAAAATAAAGAATAGAAGATTTAATCCAATCTCAGAAAAGAGCTATGGATAGGTCTTTACAAAACAATCACAAGTGTCATTAAAGATTATGAGCATATCATTGAAGATTTCATTTCAAAGAACACTAAAAGAATGATGCTATTTAAGTAAAGATTATGAAACATAGGTACCATTCTTCATATATCTTATTACAATATAATATATTATATGGTACATTTTATTTTAGTCTGATTTTTTTCTAGACTACTAGGCCTCATTTTTTAGTTTCAAACAAGGCCTCCGATTTCCATGGGACGGCCCCGATGAGGTGACATTCGAATAATGAGATCACATAACAACATCATAAGAATAACCAAACAATGTGCACCCGGAGAAAGAAAAACGATCCCAATATTGTACTTTCTATTTACCCACTTTGCACAATGTCTGTTCTTTTATGTCAAAATATGTGCTGGGTTTCCTCTTATATCTTAACAAGGAGATTATATCTCCATTATGTGAACGATCCCCCCAAAATGAATACCCAAAAGGAAAATAGAAAACAAACTCCACCAGATTCACAGGGCAAATGGTGAGGCAGTCACAAGATTTGCCGATCATGTCAATAATCATTCTAACTCTTTTATTCCACGTTATTGCTATTGTTTGCTGTCCTCTAGAGTCCAGTATGTCTTCACAACAAGGAGGAGCTTCTCGCGGACGAGCGGACCATCTTCGTGATCCACGATCTGGCTATTCCATCTCATCCCGTCCGTGATGCTCTTTATCTTCACTAACAGGTCCACGTCATCTCTGATGATGACCGTGCCCTCTGGCCGCAGAATTCTGTCCATTTCGAGCAGAATGTTCTCCGCCTCACATCTTGCAATGCAGAGGATGAATTGTCAAGTCTTTAACTGAGGTAAAACGTTATCTTGAAAAATTAATTGCCACAATGACAATTGATAGATCCTAGATTAAAAGTTCAGGGGAGATTCCTCAAAAGAAAAAGTTCATGGGAATAGATTTACATAAAACAAACATAACTGTGAGGCTATTAATTTATGGTAGGACAATTTTTGCTAAAAGAGATAGAGAACAAGAGCAGAAACAACTATCTAAATACGACAGATTGCACACTTCTGCAGTACCAGACTGAATTCTAAAGCAATATGTTTTTACCTGCCATTGTACAGTGTGAACACTGAATCTGCATGGATGAGGTCGTAGGTCCGGGGATAAGTGGACATGCCCTCACACCTGCAGTGAATTCAGATAGAGAATTCAGGACAGGTACTGACGACTATATAACCGTCTACCACGGAAGAGCCATGTTTGCAGTACGAATATGTACCAGTCCTGGTAGCTCCCAATGAGGCCACGCTCGTATATTACCCCAAGGGTTGTTGAGTTCCCCACAGTAGGGACCATGTTCATGACCCACAAGGGGTCATTCACCAATGCCGCAGCGAAGCCGCCAAACTTTGCATTCATATCCAGTAAGTTGCGGTACCGGCCTTTCTGGCTGAGTTGAGCAATCACGGACTTGTAGTGCCCAACTCTCTTCTTCCATAACTCAGTATCTTCCACAAACATCTCTTCCGTGACCCCCTCGATGCTGCCACTGGCAATCCGGGGCGGCACTGCAGTGAGCCTCTCCGGCCATTTCTTCAACGCGCCGCCGGCAACCTCCTTCAAGTCACTGACCTCTGGTAGTGGAGTTATACAAGCCTCCATCTTGTCATACCTAAAATCGATCACATGAATATGATTAGTGATTTACCATAGAGTACCACGAGTTGAACTGAAAATGGTTAGCATGGTGCTGTACGTACCAGGCAGCATCTGGGTTTTTGTTAGAGCAGAAGGGTGGGGACTTGATAACTTTGTGGATGGCCTTGCAATGAATGTGATTAGTAGGCTTCTGCCAGATAGCAATGTCGCCCACCTCCTTGATCTTCTTCCAGCAGAGGCTCTTGGCAACTGACTCAATGGCTTTCTGCTCTGCATCTAGGTCTTCTTTAGTCCTGTCCCACCCCTTCCAGTGTTTCTTCCAGTTGATTGGTGGTCCAGACAAAATCCAATAACCTCCAGGCCGCAGGATACGATCAACCTCTATCAAGTACAGCCCATCTTCACATACATGGGAGCATGAAGCGATGAGTAATCAGCTGAAGATACTGAACGCTTGTAGTATCGGGGGCGATAGTAATTCGACATACCGTAAAGCTGCCATGGGATGAGGCAACGAGAGCAGTGCGCCATGTCAAAGGAACGTGCCGGATAGGTGAGCCGATTGGAGGCGAGGACTCCAATCATCGCCGGCACACCACGCTCTAGTGCAAACTGAACCTGCGCCTCGTGGGAGTCTCGTGGAGCGAAGGACATGGCGAGGATGTTGCGTGACAGCAAGTATGCTCCCCAGCTCGCCACCTGCACAGAGCAGCAAAATGAGCCTGATCATCAGTAAGAAATTCAGTCGCTATTACTGCAGGTCCTATGCATCAAACAATCAGATCAAAATGCCTAGGTCAAGTTGGCAACAATCACAACTGTTTGGCGTGCTATCCTGCGCAATAGCACTGCATAAAAGGCGACCCATTACAACGACGCCACAGGCAATGTCATAGACAACAAATACACATTCCTGACGTCCAATCTAGAATTTGATGATATCGCAATTGCAAATATATGGCTGAAAAGGTCTACTAATGCATTTGTGGTACGTTCTCGAAAAAGCTGAAGTTGCTGTGCGTGGGATACTGCTGCATAGAAAAGGACAAGCACGTATAGTTGACAGCAGCATTATTGCAGAGATTTCAGATCTACTCATACGCTTCAGCAGTGATCCGGCTCAGCCTGTCACAGGAAACAGCGCGTGACAGCTCACTGCAGCTTGACTACCGTTACGAAGTGAAGGCCCGTTCGCAGACACAAAGCCTCTTATCGGGTCGGTGCACGAGGTTTACATGGGCCAGACCCGTTCGCAGACACCCGAAAAGCCTCTAACCCGAGAAGGGATTGGAAACTTCCGACACCCGCAAAGCAGCAAACGCCATTCCCCGACTCCCGAGATCTCCGATTGCTATTCTCTCCAATCTCTGACTGAAATTGACCTCGAATTTGTGCGGGCCTTCACAAGGCATTGTTGCGTGCACGTGATCATTTCAAGCAAATGGAGTGTGCGTTCATGTACGATTGCGATGGAAGTGGCTTACCCCGCAGCCGGTGTCAAGGGCGGTGCGGATGGATCCGTCGTGGAGGGGGATAAGCTTGCCGATGTCGTCGATGTAGGCCCCGGCGCCGCGAGGGAACATGGTGCCGCCCCCGGGGAAGCGGAACCTGTCGCCGTCGACGCGGATCCAATTCTGCACCGCCTTCTCGACGCTGAGCTCCTTGTGCGGCACGTTGGCGAACCAGGCGACGTCGCGGCTGGCCGGCCACGGGAACGGGTTGCGGTAGCCCTTGGGCGCCGGCACGAGGCACCGCAGGCGCTCGCCGTCCGCGGGGCAGTGGCGCTCCCGGTAGACGAGGCGGTCCCGCGGGAACCGCAGGGAGCGCTCCACGTCCTCGCAGGGCGTGTACTCGGAGTACTTGGCGGGGCACGCCTCGTAGCTGCGCTGGCGGAGAGCGGCCTCCGCCTCCATCCCCTCCGCCGTGTGGTGCGCGGCGAAGTCGAGCGGCCCCGCGGGGGGAGACGAGGAGGCGGCCGTCAGGGCGGGGGTGGCGCAGGAGACGGCGGTGGCGATGGAGACCAAGGAAGAGACGCCGCCGGCGGCGGCGGGGCCCGCGGAGAAGCCGCCGTGGTGCCAGATGCCAAGGAGGTAGGACACCGAGCAGAGGACGGCGACGGCCGCGAGGTGGAGCAGCGAGGGGCGGCGCGCGGCCGCGGCCGCGGCCGCCGACGAGAGGTGCAGCTTCGTGGCGGTCGCACCCACCGCCATGGCGTTGGCCGTTGGCAGCCCTGCTGCTCCTGCTGCTGCTCCTTCTCCTCTCCGCCTCCGCTGGCTGCCTGCTTTTCGTGTGGTGCGCTCACTTAAAGCGCACGGCAGGCGCCTCGGATTGAGGTGCCCGGGCCGGTATTAAGTGGAGGCGGAGACGGAGGGAGGCCGTGAAAGGGAGGCGCACCGCATGTGCGTTCAATTTGATTACCACGGGTAGGAAGTGGAGATGGGGGCAGAGGTGTGCGTTATGTGGAGGAAGCCAGGAAGCAAGCGTCTGCTGGTTGTAATTTTTGGCATGCAAACGGTCGCGCCTTGGAAACTGCGGCAACTGGAGCGTGGCTGGCCTCCGGATTGCCACGGGTGTCGTCGACCCGGGAGCGAGACAGTTGTGATGTGTTGGGTTTTGGTAAAGCATTGACTCACTGGAGTTACTGTCGGATCTTTTTTGTTGGCCACATCGTATAATGGCAATCTTTGAGTACTCTCCTTCGGCTTCGGCTTCATCACTGGATCGACATCACAGCGCTTGAACTGCGCCTAGCATGGTAAAGGCGCCTTCATGGTAATCACGGGGATGTGAAAAAGATTTGTGGAGATAAAGGCTTCATACCCTATCATGATTCTCCCATTAATAAGAAAATAAGAAGCTTCGGAAAGGGTGGATATTGGATCTTCTACTATTAATGTGGTAAGTTACCAAGACTAAAACTGTACTACACTTTGATCTGAGCCATGGTCAATGGAGATACCGGTCCTGCTTTCGCTTGAGCTACTTTTCAATCATGTAACAGTGTTTTTCTCTCCGTCTTCCCACGCCTGACACCGAGGTGAGACAACATAAAGGCGAGGAGGAAGATACAGCAGCATACGATCTAATTTTGAAACATCCAGATGCAGCAAATTAAAACATTTGAAACATGAGTCTGAAACACTGGCAAAAACAACTGAAAACAATTGAAACAATTGTAAACACACGCAATATCCAGATAAAACACTTGCATCATATGTGTGAAAAACATATACAACATCCAGATAAACACACTTGCAACATACGTTGGAAAAAAAACAAATGAAACATTGAGAACAGAAGATCTCCCTTTTGTGTGTGCCTCGACAACATGCAACTTGGCGATGACAACGACTCCAGACGCCTCTTCTACAACCCTACAAACTCTCGTTTAGAGCCTCTCCCTGCCGCGAGCGCTACTCTTACCACGGATCCCCTTCGCGGCTCTGTGAAGAGTCCTTCCCCTGTATATGGTTAGGGAAGATGGGATGAAAAAAGAAAGAGAACGCACGCCGCTGACCGAAGAGTCTCACTTGTCATAAAAAAAGTAGATCCTCAAAATTGAGGACTGCTGTTGAAGTAGCATATATTGAGATCTAGAAATGTAAAAGAGCCCATTAATTTCTAAATAGAGCTCTAGATCTAGAGACTATTGTTGGAGATGTTAAGTCCCAATGAGAGTTTCATTCCCATTGATTAAGGTTACACATCATAAAAAAGATGACGCGGCGTAGAAATTATAAGGAGAGAGGAGGTGAGTTTCATCTGGATGAAACCCGACGTGCACTATTAATGACGCGTTGAAAAATAAACGAAACTCTGCTAAAAGTGTTTTGTTTTATTCGCCCGTATCGGAAACTGGGTGAAACTCCACTGGGAGCACTCCATTTCATAACATCATGCATCATTTAAATATTTGAACCTATGAAACTGTGGTATGAATATGTGCAATATATATTTGTTTTATTCATTTATCTACCTCACTTTATTTGAAAACAACATAATGAAACCTAACACTAGAAATGGCCTGAGGGGTTGGAGATAAGGCGGACTGTTATGATTATAACTATGTTTTAGTTTTATTCCTTTGTTTGGTCGAAGTTAACTATTCTTATTCTGTGTTCGCTCCGAGAATATTGAAAAATAGAATAGAATTGGTTTTTTTATTAGAAAATAAAATTAATTTTGGTGAAGTGGAATAGCGCCACGTCCTAGGAGGGCACGGAACTGAATTTTACTGCATGATCTTGCCCCAAAAGCCAAGTGCAGTGCTGACTGTGACTGCTGGGTCGCGAGCGGAGGTCGTCTCAGCAATGGTGCACGCGTGGCGGCTCCCGGGGAGACACTTGTAACTGTCTAACCGCACTCGCAGGATCAACGTTCGCCGGGCGCGAGACAGGCGCAGCCGCTGACGGCTGACGCGCGTGCCACGAGAGAGGATAAGGATGCGCTCCTTCCCCCCGGGGAATGCGGCTGGCCAGGGCGGCCGCAGCACCCGGCAAGGCGGCAAACAAGGATTAACCTGTAGCACAAGCACCGGACCGCGCGCGAGCAAGTAGCCTGGCTTTTTTCGTGACAGCACAGTCGTCGTTGCTCGTTGGTGACCACCGTGAATCCTTGCTGCTGCTACTAACTCCAAAAGCTGTGGTGCCGCAAGCCTACAACTGCCGTGCCGCCGTGCACGTGCAGTTTGAGGTACAGTCAGTCCCCTGCCGCTACTACCTGCTGGCGGTACTGCAGGGATACGGTTGATGCCCATGGTTCGCAGTAACAGTAACCGGTGAGAACGATATGTTAACAGCTTCGAGTACACACCTGCGTCTGACTTGATCTCATCTGCGCTGCCGGACGTGACTATCGCCACCCTTCAACTGCACGCTAAAAGCAAGCTCAAAAGAAACAGCCAGGTGAAGTACCGTGCCGTGCTCAAAAGAAACAGAGGATCCGAAAAAAAGCTAGCATGGGCGCATGGCCCCGCGGGAGACCACAGGAAATAGATATAGGCTAGTACTGTAATCCGTTCCTGATAATCCATCCATCCATCCCGCGTCCGGCGTCCTGTTCGCTTCGACTACTTTTCACGCGGGTTAGTTTATTTCAACTTATTATCCAAACACTATTGAGCGCTTGTTTAGTTTTCATCCAAATTCCCAAAAAAGTGCTACATTACCCATCACATCGAATCTTACGATACGTGTATGGAGCATTAAATGTAGACGAAAAAAAACTAATTGCATAGTTTGATTAAAAATTACGAGACAAATGTTTTGAATCTAATTAGTCCATATTAAATATTAATTGTCAAATAAAAACGAAAATACTACGGTAGTCAAATTCCTAGATTGCCTCAAGTAAACACGGCGTGAATCGTCGAATTCAGTCAGCTTACGGACCAGCCGGGTCTCATCAACGCGTACTGGAAGGGAGTGCCAAGCTCCACCGCTGTGGCGTACTGGCCTGAGGGCAGTGCCAACGGTATATCGATGATTGTTTTTATCTTTATTAAATGACTTGTTACGTAGATAAAATGTTGATATAGCAACGTAATTAATGAAGAAAGAGAACAAAAATCTTAGAAATTGTTTCCTCATGAAGAAATCAGGTCTTCTCTCGACCTAATGCACTAAGAAACCATGAAATCGCCATTGGGGAGAAACCACCAGTTTTCAGGGGGCTCGTGCCACACTTCTATTGGAGGAAGAATATAGAGTTGGGAGAGAGAAAGAGAAAATAATTATTACACAAAGACACCTCCACTGTGGAAGATAATTTCTATAGATAATTTCTTATGCTATATAATCGCATCAGTTTTTTTTATTGAAACTGTTCTGAATAATGTTTTGCCTGCTACTAGACTGCTAGTAGCCGGCACGCTCCTATTTGACTAGCTACTTGAGCTATCGCTTTTGACCTTTTGTCATCATCTTTGTGTGAGACTGAAGCAAGCTATATATGTAAACTGAGGTTCAGGACTTAGGGATAATTATTAAGCAACAATTCCGCTACGAAAACCGACTTTACGAGGTGCACGAGTACTGTCTCTTCTCTTATACGTATATGGTGTTTGCAGTGATCTACTAGCTCATATAGCTTGATTTCGTATTTCTACCAACGTGGAGGTTGGGTAAGAAAAATCAGGAAAAAAAATGGCATGCTTGGGATCCGATGGCATTGATGAGACCCATCCTCTTTCTTTCTAGTCCTTTGTCTAAAGACGACTAAAACTTCCATCTCCTCCATGCTTTTCTTTTGTTTTGTTTCGCGGCCTGCGATCTTGTATTTACGGCTTATTTTGGAGACTCGACCTTAGGGCACCCCTAGTGTATTGCTGTAATGAACTGGAGGCTGGAGTTTGCCAACATTGATATCATATATATGCCCATAACGCTAAATCGACCTCTGCTGCGCTCCCGGTGCGTGCTGGCTCCCCTTTTGCAACGTGCCTCCTCTCTTTTCGCGGCACAAATTACTCTCGTCTCCCCTAGTGTGTGATTTCATCAGCATCCATCAATTTTAAAGTTTTTTCTTGGACGACAACCGGTGAGGTCATTTGTGCTTCAAAACATGGACGTGCCTCCTCGTCTGTTTACTCAATAGGCCCTGGCCTACGGCCAACATAACCTAGTAGGAGTAAGTGATAACAGTACTCTGAAAGGATGCCACGTGAACATGATACAACTACCAAATCACACTGCTTACTACTGCTAGTCTGCTACTGCTGACTGGTGGGCAATCAGAGAGGTCGAGAGCACATGGCTGGTCAGGTTGGTCAGGGACACTCACCGGCCGGAGCCAGTACACTCCCCTCTTCCTTCTTGGATCTCGTAACTCCACTGCTGTTTGGTGTCTGCTGCAGTCTGCAGGCAGCATTTGGACTTTGGAGTCTCCGAGTCTGGGGCTAGCGCGAGAGCGTCGGGCACCCACTCCCGGCCCCGGGTAAAGTAGGACTCAAGGGAGGGAGCTCATCAGACGCTGTGGTTGTTTTGACCTTTTTTTTATAAGTGTTTTGAGTTTTTGACCTTTTCAGTGTCGCCTTTGGGTGCGGGTGCAAAAGCAACCGTCACCAAGGTCTTTTCCAGTACTGTGCACACCAGTTACCAAATCTTCGTTCAGCAGCGTGGTGGTAAGATACCGATTGATTCGAATGCTCATGATCTGTGGCTCCATGCCACCACAGGGCAATGAGATGAAACACGGTTGTTACTGCATCTTG